CTGTTGCGCACTCGAATGATTGTGCCAGAAACAGAGAACGAGGATTGCCGAATGATTGAATCTTATCTTCTATCAATTTCAGTACATCAGCTAAAACATTAGGAAACACAATTAGCTCAACGAGTAGCGAGTAAAAAGTTAAACGTCAATATATCAAAAAATGCTTGCCAGCGGTAATTACCGACACCCTAGTCTATTTTGGCTTCCGCTAAAATCGTCAATGCGTCGCGTGCATATTCCAAGACAAACACCCAACTCAGTTTCATTCGCGCTAAGTCTACCTACCTGCATCTTCGGCTCACCGGTAACCCAGACTGTCTGAGCCTAAAAATCATCGTGAATGCAACTAGAGTCAGCGGAGCTGCCTCTAGTAGATTCAGAGCTACAAAAAACTGCGGATCACTCTTACCCTGGTTTCACCTTTCCGTACAAGAAACAGTGACGAACCCTTGGAATTATACGTTTGCTCCGGAGCGGTCATCAACAGTTAGCCAGTTAAAAAGGTGTTTCTGATAACTCCGATTCCAATATTTAGCCTCAAAGATCCCTGCGTAATCAAAGTTCCAAAGCAGCAATCCAGGGAGAATGATGAATGGTTATTTCGTGCCTTTCATCCTTGTAGCTGACAGACGGCATTCGTCAATGTGCGAGGAGACAATTGAAGGGCAAAAGCGACCGACCGAAGTTTTGGAAAATCCAAAAGGCAACACATCCATGGGGTATTGTGTTGTCCCGAAATCAAGACTCGCGGACGACGACCAAGCTGCTGATCCACAAACACTCTTGGATGAATTCACGTTGTTCAGGTAACATTTCTATTTCTTTGGCGATATGTGCTTCAAATCCTTTCTGGCGATGATTTCAGTCGCACACACTAAGCCGTATTTTCTGGGTGGAACGGCTCATTTCTTACTACACTGTGAGCAAGCCTTGCTTAATCTCTCATCAGTTATCCACAACCTGATGAGGCTTGATGTAGGCAGACTACCTGGTTCGATATTGAGAGACGGTTCGCTTAGTACCAGTGAGGGAAATTGTCGTGACCAACTGTAAGTCACTGATTCAAAACGCTGAATACGAGAAGGGACTTACCCATGAAAAACAACACATGTACTACGCACAATAGGGCATAAGGTTACAAGAAACAAAACAAACGTTTGACTTGGATCCAACCGTCGTTGATTGAGTGGTTGCTGTTGACTCCAGGACGCGTCCGAAAGGTCTTGTGTCGCCGGTCTTTGCTGACTGGTTGCTTCGGTGTCCGACCAGCAGCTGCCTTTCCTGGTTCGAAGACACGGAGGCCCCCTGAGGTGACTTAAGACAAATTTGTCAGGCTTACCGATTCCTAGTAGGCATAGCGATTTTCACATTCCAAGGCCATTGATAATGAACCAGGATCATGGTGCATTATGTGGGCCCCCAAGAGACACTACACGTTACAGGTTGTATGTGGCTCGTATAAACGTCGGCAAGCTATGGTAAGGCAACGTTGATTGAGTTGGGATCGGGGCCATCAAACGGTTCTGATCCAACCACGTTTGCTTAACCTTACTTAGAATCCTTTTCAACTATGGTGGGATTTGAAGCACCTCTGGGGCTGATTACACGCCAGATTAGAGCCAGTTAACTTGCGGCAAAATATCGTCGCATACGATTCGGATCAGTAGCGTCCGTTGTGGACCACCTATTGGTCTGTGCCACTTGTTCCGGTCCTTAGTATTATGTTGCATAAGTGTCTGCGCGGATGTGAACGGCGGAAGAGAAACGACCATTGTAGTACACGTTGTCTGTCAGTTTGATTGATTTATATGTAGGTATTAGTGATGTACAACCTTGATTACTGGACTTTGGCTTATGGACTTTATTTTTGTTTTCCATCCACAGGAACACCTGCCTTCGGATAATCACTGCCCCTTGGTGCTTCCATAGCGTGCATATTACATCATCAAGTTGGTTGCACGGATGTGTCGTGAAGCAGCTACGGACCAAAAAGTGGCATGCTCTGATTCGTCAAAATATGGACCAATCAGAATCGAAACCTTCCCTCACAAAATATCGTGCTGGTTGATGAGAAATGGACTACGGAAGACCGAGTAAAGTTCGGGAACAGAAAGTGCAGTGCGCAATAACGGACGGAAACCATAACCTACTATGCAATTTTTAGTTCAGATCCTGAAGGAAAGGTCACTCACACTGGCAGAGAATTTTCTACCTGATTTTTGCAGGTCACTTGAAGGAGGCTAACTTCTCTGTGCTTGGAGGGAAACGATTGTACTGTCACAAAACTAGTGACAGCCTATCGACTGGCAGCCACAGGTCTATCAGCCTCGCTAGCATATTGTGCAAGGCAATGGACCGCATTCTGAAGCGGACCATTTTAAATCACCTCTGAACCAGCGACTTGATGTCCACAGCGAAACTCGGATTCCTCGCATGATGAGCATGCTTCCATTTAGGGACAGCCTAACTGAAATTAAGGAATCATATCAACAGCCTAACTGAAATTAAGAAATCATATCAGATGCCATATTTTTCAACTTATCAAAAGCATTCAATCGAGTTCACACTTCCCGCCGCTCCACAATTTCTAGCCTTATTCATGGAGAAATTCTATGCTGGATTAAAGTTTTGCTTTCAGGGTGAACATTCAGGGCGAAAGTAAGCTTAACCTACTCTTCTCCTGCATTGGCTTTTACGTTTGTTCGTCAAGGCATCAGTGTGGGACCACATCCGTTTCCCATCCGCGTCAACGACCTTCCAGATGCGTTTCCGAATTCAAATCTTATTTTCGCGCTCAACGTGAAGTCCTGGAATTACAATTCACCACCCTTCAGATAATCGTAGCCACCGCAGATCAATAGTCCTTTGACTGGCACCTTCTTAATCACGAAAGGTGCACCCCTATGTCATTCTGAGGAGACTCAGCGGGCACCTCTGTAGTGAATATTGAGAAAGGGTCGGGAAACCTTACAGGGATGTATGCCAAAAGGAGTCAGATATCTGGCTCTCTTCAAAATTGTTCTTCTTATCGCAACAGGCAAAGCTGGCTCGAAAGTCACTCCTCGTACTACATTGATGATTCGGTGCACCTCCTCCCGTATTACACGCATGAACTTTCAGATGCTCCATGAGGCCCGCGTCAGACAACTTCTTGAATATGTTAACCAAGTTGCTTACTCAGGACAAAAGGAAGCTCCTATCGAACCCGTTTATCAAGCTATTAGGAAATTGTTTTCCGGCCTTAAATTTGTCTATCTTCAAACGCGTCTCGCAACGCTTGGCCACTTTCCTCCGGAGTTTCATTGCCTCTAAGGAGACCTAATACTTACTTTCGCCTTTTTTGAACAAGGTTTTGCCAACAGGGTTTACAGCGTTGGCATGACTAACAGACGGTAAGGACAGGGAATGAGGTTTTTATTTTGGGTACTTGGCGCATCGAATAACCTTCCTCAGACGATTGTTAGCGCTGTATCTAGTACCTAGTTCAAAGCACATTCAAACAATTTTCATGCGATACCTCGCGCAAGCTTACTGCGCAGTGGTGAAACCTTAAAGAATATTGCTTGTGCCCTTCATGTAAGCGAGTGCCACTGAACGACAAGAAGAAAACATAACGGGGAATGTTAGGCAGCAGCCAGTTGTGATTATGCAGGAAAATTTCTCATTTTCGCAGCAGGCATCCTGTCAGATAAAACCAAGTAATTCGTCGCAGTGCTACGAGGAAAATTAGGCATTTACGGGAGAACAGGCAGACGTTTCAATAGAGTGCTGAGTACTTCGGAGCTCTGGCACCAATTTGTCAGATTTAAACGGTCTTGTTAATGCATGTAACACGCTTGGTCTGGAAAAAGGCAGGTAAATTCAACGACGGGCAAGCCATAAGACTTGGTGTGGGGGTCACGGCACCATTATCGTGATGTCACTGTCCCTGGTTTGTCCCGCACAGGAGCATTTCCAGTGATTCAGTTTGACGGTTGAGATTAGTATGCAAATCGACAGGACCAAGGATAGGCCAAGGATAATCTCTCGTCCATAAGGGCGCTGGGTGCTTCATTGCTGCCACTCAAACGCGGTAATAAGGCAGCCTTTTCTAGATGGACGATTCAAAATGGGAGATATCAAAATGGGCTGCAAGAGTGCCCCCGGTTATAAGTTTGACTGCAGCTCGAAAAAGCGGGCATCTAAGCCCGGTTATTGTGAAACTGACGTGGTGAGGTCACATCAACCGATTACAAAAATGACAATCGGCATCCGAGTTGAAGAAGTACCTAACGGCATAATGCGGTCAATGAAAACTGGAATGGCCATATGTGAACGTGTGGGACGTGCATTAGCTAAGTTGTGCTGGGTGGTGTTTTCCGTCCCTAATTAGGACTTGAATAACCCTAACCTTAGGCGGAAGGGCCTCTGAGTGACAAGCTACTTCCACAATATGGAGTGCGTACTTCCTATTGCGCCTGGTTTGATACTGTTAGTTATGGCGGCCAATATATGTCAGTGGCGTTCTTTTGGTCAGTTTCTATCCGCATTGCCTGAGTGAATGTCTGGATGTGTGAGTACCTTAGAATGATTGTAATAAGCCGGAGCAGGGTAATTGCACATTGACTTGTATTCTTCTTCTTAATATGGTTTTCTAAAAATCATGGTTGTACGGAAAAGAAGCATCGGTGGTGAACACTTATGTCACTCTGGATTATGGTGCAGCTGTCCACGAACTTGAGTGGATAAAACAAAAAATGTGGGGGGGGGTGGTTACTAAAATGGTGACTGACGTTTATTGTGTGTATAAGCGGGCATAAAAGCATTTGACATACATAGAAAGAGACATGGGTTGACTTGATTGGAAGAGGAGTTCAGCGTTATAGGTGGCGGGCTGTGTTCAAAAACAAAGGCGTTACTACGATTGAGTATCGGATGCCCATAATTGGTGTTGAGGTAAACGGGACCGTGATCTTTATCAAACAACGGGGTAAAGTGATGGGATTACTGAGTGAGCTGAATATGGGGTTTGGTACTATAAAGGAGCACATCTGACACTGATTACCTACCCACTCAATAGATCGTCGTCATTCCTTCCCCTGATTGTGAGCGTTGAAAGACGCATGTCGTTTTTTAATTTTGGATACCTCGTTTATATCAGGTGCTACTACGACTGCCTTGCATGCACCCCACCTTATCTTCAACTCCGCCTCAACCAAGAATGTTTATGCTCACTTCATCTTAACATCCATGACCCCGTATCAGCCTGATTCCATCTGTCTCTCTCCCAACCTAACCCGGATCTAGCTGAGACACAAATGCGTGTCTCCTCTCCGAATGAGACATCTGCGGCGATCGCCAAGGAGCTGTCCATAAACCAGAGTGGGTTAGTGCAACGGTGGCATGGCACTGCCATACCTAGTCTGATGGCACTCCAGCAAATAGTTTCTTCAGAAACTCGAACGTACCTTCTCGCTCACTCGAGGTTGTAATTGCAACTAACAGCAAATTTTTCACTTGGCCCCGACTGCTTCTGAGACAATGGAGCTTTCTTTTGGATTTACCCAACATGATTTCGGTTAGCTCTTCCACAAGTTCAGTTCCATGTACGGTTTTTGTTTGGTCTTGTGAATCAGCACCACCTCTCCATCAAATCTATCCTTGCCATCTAAATTACTTTCAATAGCGGAACAAGTGAATCGACTTTGTTTCAGTGTGAATCATATTTTTGAGACAAAACTTGCCCTTTGCTTCCACTCTGAATTATTCCACCTCCATTCTCATTTTTGCTTTTTTGTGATTCTGGCCATTTACCCAATTGCCCAAGTTTACTCATGGCCAGCAATGGTTCTCACATTTAGTTCATGTCAGCCAGCTTCATCTTTGAAACAGTCGGAACTTGTGCTGGTTATCCTATTTTTTTGGTTTCCGCGACCACGATGGTTTGTGCGCAATAGGCATGCCTTGGTGGTCTCACCCTCCTCTCCGTTGTATTGTTGCCTGCCGTAGTGACCCGATCATGCTTCAGTTGGCATGTTCCCTTCAAGTTGGGAAATAGAGCTGTTACTATTATTATCAAAATCGGTGTACACTAGGATTCTTGTTTATCCACAACGGCACCATTTGAGCAATTATTAACTTTGTCTTCATAAAAGTAAGGAGTCCGAACCTTTCAACTCAAATTATGAGTGAGACTAAATTGTCAGCCGGCTTCATCTTTGAAACAGTCAGAACTTGTGCTGTTTATCCTATTTTTTTGGTTGCCGCGACCACGATGATTTGTGTGCAATAGGCATGCCTTGGTGGTCTCACCCTCCTCTCCGTTGTATTGTTGCCTGCCGTAGTGACCCGATCATGCTCCAGTTAGCATGTTCCTTTCAAGTTGGGAAATAGAGCTGTTACTATTATTATTATCGAAATCGGTGTACACTAGGATTCTTGTTTATCAACAACGGCACCATTTGAGCAATTATTAACTTTGTCTTCATAAAGGTAAGGAGTCCGAACCCTTCAACTCAAATTATAAGTGAGACTAAATTGAGCACACTTTTTGTGGCGGATTCACTGGTGAGCGAAACTGTCATAGTATAAACGAAATAAAATCACTGCTCCTTATGGTTTCACCAGTTCGTTCAACGAATAAAAAAGCGTCGCCAATGGCGGTTTCATAACTTCCATGTTCCACACAGTTATGATGGTGAGTGGCCTTTGATTAGGTTGTGGTGCATGGTTGATACCCAACAATCAGCGCTGCAAACACGTACAGGCCTGATAGTTACGATTAAAGGCCAAGGAGAAAGAAAACGCACATATTTATGAGTAAGAACGGACATCGTGGGACTAGGCTATCGTGCATAGTTTTGCCATATGGCATGCGTCGTGATTAGGCATGGGTTGGGTATTTGGGATGAGTAGCCAAGAAACGCAACAACACGTACTGCTATCATGTTGAGGAGCAATGGCGTTCAGGTTAAAGACGTACTTCATCTAAACTGCCTCACTATTTCTAATGATAAAGATGCCAACTTCACCTGCAGATATCCGAAAACGCTACATTATTTGCTGGCGAGTTGAGTGTATCTGGGAACAGGATCGTCTATACAGGTGCATCCTCACACGGCTACTGTACATGGTATCATATTGCCTTCGGCTGATGCTTGTATCTCAACATCACGAAAAATTTCTGGTAGTTTCCCCTTAAACAACCTGTACGAGAACAATAAATACCAAGGTTATCACTTCACCGTAATACATCGTCCCTGGATCGCGAGAGACTAATTTATGTCGACAAAATTTGTATCAAGTTCATCTAGAAAAAAGTAACACGTTGGGCAGATACGGGGTGTTGCTGGAACAAACCCTTAGGAAGTTGTTGCTCTGCACATAAACCGCCATGAATTTATATTGTTTATT